CACTCAGGATCATTTTTTCTAGTTCCATCCATTTGCCTGCAAATTTCATGATGTCATTGTTTTTCTCTGCCGAGTAGTACTCCACTGTGTATCTGTACCACATTTTCTTTATCCATTCTTCAGTTGACGGGCATCTAGGTTGTTTCCAGGTTCTGGCTATTACAAATAGTGCTGCTATGAACATAGCTGAGCATGTATCTTTGTGGTATGACTCAGCATTCCTTGGGTATATGCCCAAGAGTGGTATGGCTGGGTCTTGAGGTAGATTGATTCCCAATTTTCTGAGAAACCACCATACTGATTTCCACAGTGGTTGTACAAGCTTGCATTCCCACCAACAGTGGAGGAGTGTTCCCTTTGCTCCACATCCTCTCCAACATAGACTGTCATTAGTGTTTTTGATCTTAGCCATTCTGACAGGTGTAAGATGGTATCTCAGAGTCGTTTTGATTTGCATTTCTCTGATGATTAAGGATGTTGAGCAATTCCTTAAATGTCTTTCAGCCATTTGTGATTCTTCTTTTGAGAATTCTCTGTTTAGCTCTTCAGCCCATTTTTTAATTGGACTGTTCAGTATTTTGATGTCTAGTTTCTTGAGTTCTTTATATACTGTGGAGATCAATCCTCTGTCAGATGTGGGGTTGGTGAAGATCTTTTCCCATTCTGTAGGCTGTCTTTTTGTCTTATTGACTGTGTCTTTTGCCCTGCAAAAGCTTCTCAATTCCGAGAGGTCCCATTTATTAATTGTTGTGCTCAGGGTCTGTGCTGTTGGTGTTATATTTAGGAAATGGTCTCCGGTGCCAATGCGTTCAAGAGTGCTTCCTACTTTCTTTTCTATTAAGTTTAGTGTAACTGGATTTATGTTCAGGTCTTTGATCCACTTGGATTTGAGTTTTGTGCATGGTGACAGATATGGATCTATTTGCAATCTTTTACATGTTGACATCCAGTTATGCCAGCACCATTTGTTGAAGATACTTTATTTTTTCCATTGTATAGTTTTGGCTTCTTTGTCAAAAATCAGGTGTTCATATGTGTGTGGATTAATGTCAGGGTCTTCAATTTGATTCCATTGGTCCATATGTCGGTTTTTATGCCAGGTACCAAGCTGTTTTTATTACTATAGTTGTATTGTAGAGCTTGAAGTCAGGGATGGTGATGCCTCCAGAGGTTGCTTTATTATACGGTATTCTTTTAGCTATCCTGGGTCTTTTGTTTTTCCATATGAAGTTGAGTATTTTTCTTCCCAAGTCTGTGAAGAATTGTGTTGGGATTTTGATGGGGATTGCATTGAATCTGTAGATTGCTTTTGGTAAGATTGCCATTTTTACTATGTCAATCCTACCTATCCATGAGCATGGGAGATCCTTCCATTTTCTGATATCTTCTTCGATTTCTTTCTTTAGAGATTTAAAGTTCTTATCAAAAAGGTCCTTCACTTGTTTAGTTAGTGTTATCCCAAGGTATTTTATATTATTTGTGGCTATTGTAAAGGGTGATGTTTCTCTGACTTCTTTCTCAGCCCTTTTAACATTTGGGTATAGGAGAGCTACTGATTTTTGTTTAGTTGATCTTGTATACTGCCACTTTATTGAAAAATCAGTCCTCATAATCTGAGTTGAAGTACTAGAAGCCATGAATGGTCATCATATTTCCACAGATCTCTTTCCATCATCTAAAATCAAAGACAGGAATTACTGTCTAATCCACAGACCTGTGGTCAGGATTGAAGGAAATACAGCATGTGAAAGTAATAAATGAATTGAAAATATTATTCTAATAAAGCAGCAATTATAATAATTCATACCTAATGATAAAATGTGAGCACACTGGGTAGACTCAGAATATCTAGAGAGCCTAAGCATTCACATAAGGTGAGGATGTGAAGCATTGTGAGTACTTCTGCCTGTTTTGGAGACAGGGTCTGGCTGTGGAGCCCAGGCTCTTGTAATCCTCCAGCTTCAGCCTCCTCAGTGCTGGGACTACAGTGGAGTGCCACTAAGCCCAGCACCAAGTGGCTTTCAGTTAAGTGAGAATCAGTGTTTGGGGAGAAAGAAATGTGGATGAATCTCATTGTGGAATGATTTTAAGAAGGGAACTATTTTGTTTATTAAAGTAAAATTGAAGATCCAGGTATGATAATACAGGCTTGTAACCCACAAAACTCAGGTGGGAAAGGAGAGTGGCTAGTTGAGGTCAGCCAAGGCTACATGTGAGACCCTGTCTCCTAAGCAAAAAAGCCAAAACAAAAGTATAAAACAAAATCAGCCAACCACCCAAAACGCATGGGACTGAGGCATAGCTTCAAACCAGAACGTATACATGCTACACTTGAGGGCCTGAGTAGATGGTAGAATCAAACAGAGCTAACAACCATTGTTTACTGTTTGTGTTTTAAAAAATGTTTGTTTTTTGAGAATTTCATCTGAGTACTGACTTTGCAACATTCCACCCTCCTCCTCCATCTCTCAAGTCCCTCCCCCCCAAACTCATGGCCTCTTACTTTGTTACTGTTAAATACTCACACCCATTATAAATCCACAATGATAACCTTTTGAGCTGGTGTTGCTCACATGCATTTAGGCTGACCTAAGAAGCCATTTATCTATCACCTGTAGCTCTTCACCTGGGGGTGGGGCCTTGTGAGTTTCCCCTTCCCATGTCCATTGGTGTAAACAACCATACTGTTGAGAGTGGTGCAGCTTCCCCGTCACAGACTGAAGACACAATATTACAGTCCTGGGCCTCTGCCTCTGCGGTCTTTCTACCCCGCTCTTCCACAAGGTCCTCTGAGTCTTGGGTGTAAGGGCTGTGCCGTAGATGTATCAGCTGGGGTGGATACTACACGGTCAGTTGTCCTTAGCGGTCTGGCCATTTGTGGCTTTCTGTCACAGTCTCCTCCTGCTGCACAAAGAAGCTTCTTTGATGAGGGGAGAGCTACACATATTAGGCAAAGCCACACATCCGGAGGCAGGCCTTCGGCATGCAGGGCCACCGAGGCCTTGCATTTTATTTCTGGTGCACACCTTTGTGAGAATCTGTCTCTGCACAAGTCAGGGTTCTCTAAAGAAACCGAACGGAAGACAGGACAATTTGCTAGATATGGGGCTCATTAGATGGGCTGACAGGATGCAGTCCAGACAGCCCGCCATGGCTGTCTCATGCCAGAGGGGCCAGGAATCTGGCAGTTCCTCAGTCACCAGGCTGGATGCTCAGGAGTTCCAATCTGGCACTGAAGGGCCAAGGGTTCCTGGAGAACCTGGTCTCGGTCTGTGCTGGAATCCTGAAGTTGGTTCTGATACGGGTCTCAGCAACAGACTGAGTGGACTTGCCAGTGAGCGTGAGGCCAAGCAGGCAGCAAGCAAAGCTTCCTTCTTCCAGGTCATTTTTTCAGGGCTGCCAGCAGAAGGTGCTGTCCAGATTTAGGGCAGATCTTCCTGCTTCAAATGATCTGATTAAGAAAATCCCTCACTGGCCTGCCCAGCAGCTTGGGTTTTAGTTGATTACACATGCAGTCAAACTGACAACCAAGATTAATTAGCAACCACAGTCTGTTATTAGTTTTTGTTTTCTCTTTTGACAGGGACTCCTATGAAGTTCTGGCTGGCTCTGCCTCTGCCTCTCAAGTGCTGGATTACAGATCTGAGTCACCATGCTTGGTTTAAATATCTCAATGAATCTTTGACATGACATTTGACAGGACCAGAAAACAAAACCAGAAGAATTAAAAGACTCACCCAACCTCTCAGACCTGTGACATCACAAGGCCAGAACTTATCACTGGTTTTTGACTCTGGTGTCCTTTCTTTATGCCACACTAGAGCTGAGATGACCTTTGGCTATGGATATTGAATTGTAATCACTGGATATTTAGAAAGTCAGATTGGGTTGTGAGCTGTACTCAGGAGCATGGAAAGAAAAATGTGAGTTGGAAATGCGTTTGCAGGTGTTAAACCGCCACCTCTACAGTGTAGATCTGAACTTAGAGCCATCCTCCTGCCTCTGCCTCCCGAGTGCTTGGATCTATCTCAGACATCTGCTGCTAGGCCTGCTTTACCATTCTTTAAAACCCTGGCTCCTTTATGTTTTCAGATCAGCCCTAAACTAGCTTTTTGAGTTGTCTGGGGCCAGTAGCAGGATACCCGCGTGTCCCTCATCAGCACCTTTGAGCAGCACTCAAAAGGCGGACAGAAGCAGGAAACTGTCGAGGGGCGCTCCAAACCAGAGGGGGAAAGGAAGGGCCCCAGGGTCGAAGTTTCTATACACGGTCAAGAAATCGCCGCAGCGCTCCAACACCCATAGGTGAACTGTCTTAGCTCTTTCCTGGCAGCCCCAGAGAGCCACGCTGAGCCCTCAAACTGAAGAGCTGTGCCTGAGCAAGGTCACCTGTCAGGGTCTGGTGACAGGTTATTTGTGGGCGTTCACTTCTCTCTCCCTGCGGGTCCTTCTGCCTCCCAGCCCTTCCTTCTGGAGGGCTAGAAGCATCTGAGACCTGGGCCCATCGTCCAGGTGCTAGTTGGGCTGGCCATCCCACAGGAGTACCTCGCAGGTTGCTTTTAGGTGATGGACAGATCCTGTCTCAGTTGGCTGAGGACCAGGGTGCCCTTGGGAGGCAGGAATGCCAGGCTGGGGCTTGCTTCACCAGCTCCCTCCTATCCCGCGCAGAATGGAATGTCTCTGCTGTCCCCAGACCCAACCGACTGTTGCTGGACAAGGGTGCCTTTCCGGGGGCTAGCGGCGCCCACGGGACAGAGGGCTCGGCGTGTGGGGAGGAGGGCGCGTGGGGAGGGCGGGCGCGCAATCGAGGGAGGTGGGCGCTGGGCTGGCGCTCCGAGGACCCCGCACTGCGCCCTCCAGCAGAGGCGCCGCACAGCAGACTGGGCCACCGCGGCCACCGCAGCGCGTGCGGGGGGCTGGCAGCGGGCAGCGGAGGGGCGGCTGCGCCCGCGCAGCAGAGCCGAGCGGAGCCGAGCGCGCAGCCTGGCCGCCGCCGCCTGGCACATGCCATCGCCGCCACAAAGAGCTCCCTGAACCCAGGCGGCCGAGCTCCAGAGGCTGCGCTTCGCAGGAGGCTCCGCGCTGCGGGCCGGGGGGAAGGGACCAGACTGAAGATGGCCCGGAAGAGAAAGCCCCCCAGCATCCAGGGTGAGTCCCTTTCGTCCCCACGTCCACATCCATCTCTTTGGCCCGCAGGATCGCAGCTGGGCTCAGCCAAGTGGCAGGTGGCAGCGGACAAGAGTTTGCCTTCTGCGGAGGTGGGGTGGGGAGGGGTGCCTCTGCACGACGTCGTCTTCCTTCGGTTTGGGGACTCTCGGGGAGGAGTTTGTCACTGGTTTGGAACCTGGGGACACCTGGAGACTCTCGTTACCACACTACTTCCCTATACCGTGGCTTGGGTAATAGGTTTCTGTTGCTTCTTGCCTGGCCCCCCAGGGCAGTGTCTGGAGGGGGAGAAGCGACTTCTCTTGGTTGCTGGGGTCAGTCTCTCTCCATCTCCAGTCCTCAACCTCCATCTCTATCTTCATCTGTCTCTTTTCCCTTCTCTCCTTCATCCCAGGGTGACAAGTTCTACATTCATTTTCTCAACCTTCCCATTCTTGGGAGGAGACGATTTTCTGGCTCTCTCTCTCTCTCTCTCTCCCAACTCTACCCTATTGTCAAGGGGCTTTGCTACTAGCTGGGTCCTTGCTGGCTGCTGTCCAGGAGGGCAGGGACTCCAGCGGGTCACCCCCCTGTTGCTCCTTTGGAAATAGGCTTCCAAAAACTTGGAAAGTTGAGGGGTGGAAAGGATGGCGGGAGGCTGTGGGAAGAGCTTGTTGCTGGGGTAACTAGAGGCACCTCTGCTCGCCCTGGGCGGAACCGGGGAAAACTGCCTCCTGCTTGGCGCCCGCCCATGAGCCTTGGGGAACAGGTGCGCTTAGCGCGGACTCAGCAGCAAGGTAGTGACTCCTTGCTGGCGAGGGAAGGCCTGGCGGGGCACCCGCAGCAGCGTGAGGAGGACTGCCTGTCCAGACAGGAACCGCGGGTGGTGGCCGGGAAGGAGTGGCAGTGTTTGAAGTTGGAGTTCAGCCCAGTGGACGCCACAGCCTGTGAGACAGAGACATCTTATGCTTTGGGGTTGTACAAAAGAGGACCGCTCCGGAGATGAGAGCTGGGGCAGGACGGCATAGATCCATCGGCCCACAGCAGAGCAACAGCCTTTGGCTTGCTTCTTGCTTCCTTTCCCCTAAGCCTTGCTCCCGGAAGTTTAGCTCGTCTCCAAGGCATCACTAGGGGAACACAACTTTACTTAGGTGCTCTGTCTGATTGTCTGGATTGTGAAGATTCCAATGATTTACTGGAAAGGGTTAAAAATCGTGATCCTAGATTCTCCTTAGACATTACCACTAAACACTGTGGGTATTTAGTTGTTGAAATTACCACCTACTGACAACAACTGTCTTTGAATGACTTTCCTTAAAAACACTATGACTCCTGGACAGTTGGAGCGCCTTAGATCCCACACCCCATCATTGCTTAGCCCGAGTCTATAGAGGCCATTGGTAAGGAAGGAGAGCATTTATCCATGCAAGACACCTTTTTCTCCTTGCCACAGAGCACAGGATTTGTCTAACCTCAGACTGACAGGGTGCACGCGCCACACTTTATGAAACCATATGGCACCACGGAACCAAGCAGAAGGATGCGTTTCAGCACCGCCTGATGTTGCTCTCCCTGGCAACCCACCCCAGACCTTGCAGACTGCAAATGGGCCGTGAAAGTGTAGATTCTCACTTTACAGTACATGCTAGCTGAGGAAAGTCTTACGCTCAGAATGAATCTTCTTAGCCAAGGCTCAGGAAGGTACAAAGGAGGCCAAAAGAATGACAGGGAGCTAACGGTAGAGATGTGTGGAAAGACAGCCCCTCCCCCTCCACCCTCCCTTTTCCTCTCCTCCTTTCTCCCCTCTCCTCCCCCTCCCCTTCTCCTCTCCTCCTTTCTCCTCGCTCCTCCCCCTCCCCTCCCCTTCCCCTTTACTGCCCCCTCCCCCTCCCTCCCCCTCCCCTCCCCTTCCCCTCTCTTCCTCCCTCCCTTTTGACTGTCAAGAAGCAATAGCCCTTTCCAGAGTAAATCTGGTTGACAATGAAATGATTGAAGAACAGGATTTTGTCACTTACATGTTAACAGAAACACAAATAATCAAACTTTCCCAGACACATGGACCCAAGAATTTTCAGCACAGTTTTCTAAAGACACGGTTTCCTCACATAACTCTTACAAAGGGAAGGGTTGGCTCATGCTCTCTTGACTCCTGTTTCTTCCACTAATGCTGAACTTCTTTTCTTTTTAAAATTCAGGTCATTTACTATTTCTTAGAACAAAAGATGCATTAAAAGTCCTTTGCGTTTCTTGTCAGCAGACTTAGTTTGGCATGTTATACACATACAGACTCAAACCTAGAATGTTGTCATCCAAATTCTTTTGTCAAAGTTATATCTGTCTATCCATCTATCTATCTTTCTGCTTTCTGAGACAAAGACTTACTGTAGTTTATGCTGGCTTGGAACTCACTATATAGCCAGTCTAGCCGTGAACTCATGGCAATCCTCCTGTCTCAGCCTTCCAGCTGTTGAGACAACAGGCACGCGTCATGCCAGGCTTCAGTTTTGGCTTTCAAGGGAAGACTTGAACAAAAGCCCGTGGCTGCAGGCTTGCTGAGCTGATGTTAGACCAACCACATTACTCACCTGGTAGAAATGGAAACTTTTAACCGGGGGAAGGGAGGCAGGCCACTGGGGTGCGTTTTCTTGGATAATAACTATACCTCAGCAGTAACTATCCCACTGCTGTGCTGATGCTGTCCCTCTGCTTCCCTGCTCTGCTGTGGGGAGACGCCACGCTGGGGCCTGTGGTGGGTGCTCACTGGGATCTGGAGCAGTAGAGACGCCCCATCTTCATGACTTCGAAACAGGGCAGAGGGAAATTCACATGGACAGAAGAGTCAGGCCATCAGCAGTCTCTCCCGGGAGAACACTGTGCTCATTTTTAATCTCTCATCCAAAGAACAGCCTTTCAAAAAGGCAAATGGAATTTTCAATGAATCCAGGATCGATGTCTTATAAACACAAGGCAGTTGAATTGGCTATGGTGATATTAACCCTTTTCCACTGTCAGATCAATCAAGACCTCCATGTGCTTTGAACTCTGAATTGAACGCTTGGTTCCAAGTTGATGGCACCATTTAAGGAGCTTATGGAGCATTTCGGGGGTACAGCCTTGCGAGAGGAAGTCCTTCACTGGGGGCAGGCTTTGAGAGTTTACCGCCTCTCCTCACTTCTAGTTTGTTCTCTCTGCTTCTTGCTTGCTGTTGAAGGTGTGGTGTCTCTGCTTCCCATGCTGTCTGCTGCCCTGCCTCCCCCTAAGCCCAGATAAACTCATTCTTCCTTAAGCTGCCTTTGGTCAGGCATCTTATCACAGCAACAAGAAGAAAGTAAGACGCTTCTTTCTGAGTCACTGAGGTTCAAAGCTCAGGTCAAAGCTTGGGGTTATCTGTTTATCCAGCTCATATGGACTGAGCACTAACTGTGTGCCAGGGTTTGTGAAAAACATTGGGGATACAGCCATGACCATGGTAAGCCTTAAGAGTCCAAGAGGGGGTCCTGGAAGGGGCAGGTAATGCGTGAATCAGAAAACTTCATATAGTGATGGATACCACCATGAAGAAATTAAGCAAGGCAGTGTACTTTAAAGGGACTGTGAGGTCACTTTTGGTTGTTGGGAGACAGTGCTTACATTGGGAAGGGAGTGATGAAGAGTGATTTGTATGCTAAGAACTGGAACACAGCCCTGTGTACTCTCAGGAAGGAATAGAGCAGTAGGTGAGCAGGTTCAAGGACAGACAGGAGGCCAGTGTGCCTGGAGGAAGCTTGTGAGGTAGAGACATGTGGAGAGAGCTCAGATCTTTTTTATTATAAAGAAGAACAAGATTTTAAGTGAAGTGAGAAGCCATTGGCTGTTCACTTGATGTTTCTGTCTACATTACAGTTCTAAAGATGCTAGGAAGCCAAGTGTGGTGTTGCAGGCCTGTGGTTCCAGCACTGGGAGGCTGGGAGGGATGTTATAGTGTCAGAGCGTATGCCCCATGTTTCCAGGTCCTTACCTCTAATTCAAGGAAGCGAAATAAAGGCACACACAGATTACAATGCAGTAAGGAAACTTAATTCAAAAGCAAGGTGATTACAGAATGAAATACATTGTCAAGAGTGACAGTGGGCACATGAGTGACAGCACTCAAGGACTCCAGGTCTTAGGAGGAAGGAGGTGTTGTTGCTAAGAAACATACCATGCGCAGTTCTTTAGTTTGATTGACAGATTTAACTTATACAACCGTTTCCATACTGCACATGTTCCTTTCCATAGAGCATCTGGTTCTAATCATATACAAGCCTGGTTATACAGAGGTGTAAGATGGTAAACGGGGAATTCTCACAGAAGTTCACTTAGAGGGTATGATTTTCCTTATTGTGCATCCAGGCTGGGTGAGCCCCGCCGCCCCCATGATAACTGGAGTGTGACTAAGTGAAAGCTACCCACATTTGACGGTGATTAAAGAAGGAGAAACAGCCCATTGTTTGGAGATGGGTGTCATGTAGCTCAGTGCGTGGGTGCTAGGCTGTAACAGGCTGATGTGCACATTGCTTAGAGAGGGATATGTGTATATGCATAGCACATGGAGACGAGAGTTCTAGGCTGACAACTGCCCACACCCAGTAGAGCTCAGGTCCTTTGTCTGTTTTTTCGTTTTTCAAGACAGGGTTTCTCTGTGTTGCCCAGGCTGTCCTGGAACTAGCTCTGTAGACCAGGTTGGCCTTGAACTCACAGAGATCCACCTGCCTCTGCTTCCTGAGTGCTTGGATTAAAGGTGAGTATCACCACCACCTGGCAAGTTCAGGTTCTTAAACTATTCCCTAACCCTAACTCTGCCTCAGGAGGATTGCAATTAGTCGGAGGCCAGACTGATCCACAATGTGGGTTCCAGAATAGCTTAGGCTACAGAGTGAGACTGTAGATGAATTTCTAAAGGTTTTATTAATAAAAACAAACCTGAGCCAGGTATTGGGGTGAACACTGGAGGGTCAGAGAGACAGAATAAGCCACAGCTACCT